GAGCAACTCCTGTGTCTCCAAGGGAGTGCCTGAAGGTGTCAGAGCAATGGTATAGTGGGAATTAATTTAAGCTTGAGGGCCTGTAAGGTCTTGCTCTTGGACCTAGAAGCAGGAGTCCTGGAGAAGGCTTGGCAACTACTGGCTATGAGCCTACCTCAGCTGGCTGCATGCAAGAGGAGGCTTGTTTCAGCCTCCCTATCCCACTGTTAGGAAAAACTTGCAACTCTTCAGCTTTGTTTATTTAAATGGAAACCAAGTACAGTATAAACTGAGGCATGTTTCTTCTGGAACAATAACTTTGGCCTTATAGATTGGTAAATCGAATTTTTGTAGTTCATCATTCATTACCTAGTCTAAAATTACATGCAGGTTCAGTAACATGGATCTTTTAAATGGATTTTATTTAACCTTCGCTATACTAATGACAAACAGAAGAATGGTAATGAGATTAATATTGTTACTTATCCAAGTAAGAAAACTATTACGAAGATTATTATTATTATCAATTTATTGTTAAATGATCTCTTATTACAGATCCCAATAATGATTAGGGTTCTGTCAGACTAGATCAAATTAACATAAGGTGTCTGTTCTGAGAGGTTTTAGTTTAAATGCCTCTTCTTGCTTCAGTATGCGTTTAAGGGGATTAATCAACAGTTTGTTAAGTGACTTCTTTGTAAGCTTTGCAGAAGCAGTAAGAAAACCTTGCAAGATATTGTGGGAGTATTGTGAAAAATACACCCACAGAATTATAAACTAGTTAAATCTCACTTTCATGGATGACTTTGGCACTTACGATTATCATTATCAACTTTGTTGAGCTCTCCTCATGCTGTGCAGATTCACGAGGTGTTTCTTGCCCAGAAAGGCTGTGCTTACACTACGAAAATAAGAGGGTCATACTGGTTGAGCGAGTTACTGCTTAGCCAAGTCCAGTGCATTTCCATAGCCCATGCAGAGTACCCTATTAGCTTGGGTAAGTGTTGTGTGCTGTTCCTTCTCTAAGTTTTAGTGTCCTGCTCCATAAAGTCAGGTAATATGAATATTGATCTGTTCATATATCTATGAATATTATGACAGCACTGTGCTACATGGAAAGTATTTATCGAGATCTCCACAGACTGATGGTTATTCTGCCCTTCCCCTAAATTCTTCCTTTCCTTTAGCATCTTGAGGTGACAGACTGAGACTTTCTTAAGGTGACGTATTTTAATTGAAAACAGTTATTTGGAGAGGACATTCTGATTTATCTTCCTTGGCAGGAAGAACCTTTACCTATGTATCTGTCTGTCAGTATTACCTAGAACAACTGCAAGACTAATTCCTGCTTTTGATTATATTATTTTATGATGGGCACCATGAGGTAGCCTCTCTCAAATGTAGAATTCCTGAAACCTAGTTACTTTCAAACCTTTTTGAAATCGATGTCCAGAATTGGTTTTCTTGGTGGTTTTTGTGTGAAATAGAAAATCTTGTAACCCAAAGGGGTTGCAAATCCCTTCATGTCCAAGTTACACATTAATTATTCTGGCAGAGCAAGGGTTAGATGGATCTTCTAATTAAGATACTGTTAATTATTATAACAATTATTATATTAACTAAGCTACTCCAAGTGCTGAGTTAAGAGTCTAAGATGATACATGGTTTAATACTGATGTCACTCAGCATGTGCCTGTCATCCCAGCCCTCCTCACTGAGGGCAGGAAGAAGAGAAACTTTGTGGTTTCAGTGCATGCTTCCAGTGAGAACTGAAAATCCTGAGATTTTTCTTCCAACTAACTCTACTGCCTGATACTTGAAGCATAAACTTGCATGATGAACAAATACCCTAATTCAGGAAAACATAAACATTCTCAGAAGTAAGTGTAAAAATTGTTCTTAAGGCTCACTATTGGTTATTTTTAAAAGGCTCAGGAATTGCCACCTTTTGCACTTAGCTTTCCTCATCAGCATTTTTAAAATGGCAGCATGTCCCACCTTGGTGCTGCTGGGAGATAATAAGGTATTTTTACAGTCATTCCCTTTTAGTCTGAGTTGCAGACTGAAAGGTCAGAGGCAAGGCAGGATGAAGAATAAACGTGTCTGGCAGCAGTGGTCTAAGGAATCAAAGTTTTGTCAAAGAATGACATTTGCTTTTGGATTTCAAGGCTAAGGGACCTAGGATTGCTGTGTGAGCAGCATGCTCAGCTGCCTCAGAGGGGGCTGCACAGAAATGCTACCATTTCCACCTATTGGGGAGTCAGTGTTGGCATGCATTCCTCTTCCTTATTAGAGTTTTGGAAGCGTTATTCACTAGTCGCCACTTACTGAGTTTTTGTTCACAGTTTATAGCATCTTTTCCCTGGGGTACATGGTGCCTGGAAGGTCCAGAAACCTGTGTTAATAAAGCAGAGACGTGGTGGGACAGAATAAAGACAACATTGTTTTGTGTGCAAGAAAACATTGCCCTGTCATATGCTTCCTCATTTTAACATCCATGCTGTCATCCTGGCTTGTCTCACCAAACTTCCTGGCGCTGTTCCCATGGCTCCCTCAGGGGAGCAGGGTGAGATGTATGCATGATAGGGAAGTGAGGGGCTGTGAAGACGTGACCAGCTGATGGTATCCAGCACAAGTCCCAGCTCAGGCACAGAGCTGTAACAGCACAGGGATGGGAGACAACAGCTCCTACAGTGCTTTCAGCCAGGCTTCCTGGGAGATAGTTTGAGGAAGCAACTCTGTCTTCATTTGTTCAGCAGAGGGTGGAAGAGCAGGAGTTCTCCTTACTGGTTTTTAGATTTCAATTTTTATTTCTTAGATTGCTTCTGGGGAAGGATGTGTTTCTCTTCAAAGCTGTTCTGCCTAATAAGTTCTTGTTTGGGGTTCAGCTGGTGAAAACAATTGAGATGGCATACATGTATGGAGCTTGTGCCTGGGGGTGGTTTCCCTGCTTACCTGAGCTAACAGCTTTATTAACCCTCCTGCAAGTCATTCTGACGGATGTGGTTCCTAGATGGCTGCTGAGGTATGAACATTTAGTGTCAGCTTTTTTAAGTGCAGAGAAAGGAGGAAAGAAATTCCTTCATTCAGGCATAAGGTTGTATACCATTGTTTTGGAAGGTAGTATGGGAGGGACCCACAGAGATGTTAAAAAAGTTCTTGACTCGGGTAAAAGCACTTCCATTCTCCAAGAGGCACATGCCGTGTCTCCAGAACTGTGGAGAGGCTCAGAAACATTTGACCCCATATCTGCCAAGGGGCTGTGTCTTAACAGAGCCGAAGAAGCTGTTATAAAGCTGTTTTGAAGCTGAGTCTCATTGCATGCAAACTCTCTGTTGGCTAGGAGTCTCCTTATTTGTGCAGAAATTATCCCAAGGAGAGAAAACCCAGTAAAACAGGGAAATACTATCCATTGTGAAGTCACCAGTTGGGCTTGTTATGCTCCCTACATTTTCTTAGTGGAAGTGTTCCTGATAGGCATGTGGCTAGTGACCTCAGGAACATGCTTGCTTTAGGAGAGCTGCCCTCATGCCTGGAGAGCTCTGCCAGCACACCAGAGCCCTGGCATGGGGGCAGTCGTGGGTGTTACTTCAGCCCCCGTCCTCTCTGGAGAGCCAGGCTGCCAATTGTGTCAGACTGTCAGTTGGCACTGTCACAGTAACAAATGCCCTGAGGAATTTAAGACAGGGCTGGCAAACTCTCTTTAATTTGTGTTCCAGGCACAATGTTGACTCTGGTCTCAGGAGGAGAATTGTTAGCCAGTTTGCTGGCTGCAAATATATATGTGTGCACACATTTCCCAAACATCCATCTGGCTGTCAGCCTGATAAATGCCACTGTTCCGGAGTGAGCCCTCCCATGTCAGCTGTTTCACCTCTACCTCTACAAAGCTTAGTGAGCATGCTTTATCCAGTTCTCCCCTCCGGGATTCTGAAAGATGCTGAATGCTGCAGAGCCCCTAATGAGCTTTTCCATTACTAATACCGTCTCGGTTTCTAACTCCACCTTCCTTTCCAGAAACGCGAAGGCCTCCTTCAGACCACTCATGTTACAGAGGAGCTGACGACTACAACAGAGTAAGCACAAAACGCTTTAGCTTCAGAGTGTGTTTGTGGTGCATGATGTGAGACCATTTATGAAGACATAAAAGACACTTAGTCTTCCCCCAGCCCTTGCTAAATTAACGAATTCCCTTAATGTGGTGCTTTTTTAACTATATAGAAATAACTTGGTCTCTGGAAATATATTACAAAAGAGAAAAGTGTCTTCTTGACATTCTTTTGTTACAGAAACTTTTAATTGACTAATTCACTGAAAGTGGCGTTTGTGGGCTTTTTTCCCCCTCCCCGCCCTCTGGACATAGCCATATATAGAATCACAGAATTCAGAGTGGTTTGGGTTGGAAAGGACCTTAAGATCATCTAGTTCCAACCCCCTGCCATGGGCAGGGGCACCTCCACCATTTCTGTCTAGTGCTGTTGCCTTTCTGAAGTGAAGGGCTTAATGTAGATATTTTGGGGAAGAATTAGTTTGACAAAAGGCAATTCTTTGAAATACCTCTTAAGACTGAAGTGATACCCTGCTAAAATTGTAAGGAGAGATGGTCTCTGTTTCTGTAGTACCTCAGAACTAAAGGTCAGCAAAAATAAATAAACAAACCTTTTACCTCTCCAGTTTTTGAAACAGATTACTTTGCTTCATGTTTTTTACAGTCTGTTTTATAAGAAGGCTAGACATGCACTTTGGCTGCAAATAAAAGCTGAGATTTTCCTTTGCATGGCCTGAAGGCAACTCTTCTAAGAGGGGAGCTGACATGCACCCTCCTTCAGTTTATCAGTGTATTGGCTGCCTGTAGAGTTGGCTCAGCTTTCCATGACTTTGAAGATAAATGAAGTACCATGTGGCTAACTCAGTAGGGAAGATCATTGAGATGGAAACACTCAGAAATGAGATCATAACATCTTTGTGTGGACATTAAAGATCTCCTAGTGTTTTTTGTAGGATCGGAGCTCTGCCTCAGGTTTGTGGGCCAAAATTCCTCCACTTACTCCTATGCTCTTGAACAATGTAGTTAGCTTGTCCTCTCCTTCAGATGTGGTTTGTAAGATGTAATCTGCGGAGTGAGGTTTAGACATTTTTTTAGCAAGAAAGACGTTTACAGATTTGCATGTGTGTTTGTGCATGTATTTTATTAAGTTATTTAATATTACACAATATGAAGGGTTTACTGTTTAACGTGCTGCATACCCAGATATAAGTATAGCTATGGAAAATGCAAGGATCAGCAGAATCCAACATTCGCTGAATACTTTCAGATGCCTCTGTGCAAATCAGGGCCTGATTCCCAGCTGATAAATGTCTGATATGTCTGGTGATGTCATTGGCTGTGTATATAATTCATATGTGGCAGTTTTATTTACATAATACCCAAATGTGATGTATGTTTTCTTTCTTCAGAGAAAACAGATTAAAGTGAGATAGATAGCCTTGTTCCTTCTAAGCTGTGTGGTGTAGTGTGTGATGTTTGTATTTGCGGAAGCTACACTGAAGTACATTTGTTCATTCACTCTTCATCATAAAAATAGTTATGTATAAGAAATCACAATTATGTGTAAAACTTAATTACCCATTTCCATTAATTTCACATGTATCTCCCTGACATCACTGGTGGTCTGCTGGGGACATTCCAGCAGCACGTTGGGTCTGGTCTGTGACATGCTCTGCCTCCTGTCTTGGTAGGAGTGGTTAGCCCTCGGCATGCTGCAGGAAAAGGCCTGTTAAGTCCACAATCTTGTCTTTTCAAAGTGATTATTCATGAACTAACACAATCTTTTTGAATGCTCTGACTTGCAGGATGATGATGGGAAGATTTGGTAAGTAACAGTTGACTGATTTTTTTTTTAATTTATGTCAGGCACAGAAATTTTGTCTGTTTTCCTTGAGCAGATCAAGACAATGGATTGAGCAATTCCACAGGGTTGGAATGTATTGTGGGGGCACGTTTTGTTATCCACACAGATGTGTAGCATAATGGTAGAACTAGATCATCCAGTGTAGAACTTGTGCTTTTTAGACTGGTGTCTATTGATTTGTTTTAATTTGCAAGTAATTAATAGAGAAAATGCTACATACGGAAATATTTCCTAGTACTGTTGTTAGTGGCTTTCAAGTAAAAATGTTTACAACACCCAGAAATTAGAGCAAACCTTCTTCATAATGATACTGTTTATATATAAATGAAAACAAGAAAATTACTGAAGCAAAGGTGTATGGTATGAGGTCTAAGAAAGCTCTGTTTATCTGTCCACTTTCAGTGACCAGTCAACCCTCTCTAATTCCTTTGCATGGAACATCGTATCTCCTTCACGTTCACCAGATTTTAGAGATTAGACCTTAACAACAATACATCTGGTCTTCTAAACAAAAAACATATTTTTTTGGTGTTTCTGCTAAGAGACTTTTGTTTTTGCATTTGATTTTGTTAGTGGCATTAGGAATGTGGTCTCTGGTAAAAGACTGTGTATGATGAAGAACAAGTCATTTAGTTTCTCTGTTACCCAGTTACAATATGTGAACCATTTTCCCTCTTGCAGAGTAGCTACATTAATAAATTATAAGGTAATCAGAAAGTAAGTAATGTCAGGGGGCTATGAGGGCTAAATAAGATATCTTCAGATACCAAAGGAATTTGGACAATAAATATGCTTGTTTATTTAACAATAGAAAACTATCCAAATGTGTTCTGTAAATTAAAAGAATTAGAACGTGGAAAAATTGTTAAAAACTATGTTGAAAATTTTAACAGCTTCAAACCCACATGCTTTTCCGGCATTTTTAGGTGGGTTTCGGGTTTTTTTGGTTGTGGGTTTGTTTGTTTTTTTTTTTTAATGCACCTGCAAATGGTTGATTTCTAATTTTTTCTTGTTTTACTTGATGATGACAGTTGTCATCTGAAAAAAAATCAAAATTTTCAGTCAGCCTGAAGCTGTGCCACAATGTGAAATGTTGCACTAATATAGTCAATTTAATAGATTTTAGATTGGTTTAGATACTGTTATACAATGCTTTGAAGGTCCAAACTTAATTTAAATCTTCATACTGTATATAAGCTTAGCTCTTCATACACTGCTGAATCGGATGTCACTCATGTTCAGTTTTAAGCTTGACTAAAGTCATGGGTATTACCATTAATTAACAAAATTAATATCTGATTTTTGATGCAGAGTGGTGGATGCAATCATACTTACCACTGTAGCTGTAGTGCAGCAAACCCAGGTGATGTTTCAGTGGCTCCATTGTTTAAGTTAGGGTTGGGGCATAGTCAAAAATTGTTTTTCACTTTAATTTTTCTTCCACCTGCATATTTTGTGTACTAATTATGAATGGCAGCAAAGTGAAATGAGTTAATGATATGTTTATTTTCAGTTACCTCTAAAGTTCCCAGGACAGTTTGCTCTGGCTAGACACCAATATAGGGTGATAACTTTTAGCTTGAGTCTCTGTTATGTGGCTTTCTGGGAAAGACCTTTAGGCTTGGAACACATAACCTGCTTCCCATACTTGGCTGTTGGAGGTGTATTGATTTATTTATTTTTTCCCTTAAACCTAGAGCGTGATGCCTTTGACACACTTTTTGATCATGCACCAGACAAACTCAGCGTAGTCAAAAAGGTAAATAAAAACCCAAAAACTTTTATTTTCTGCATTGCTTTTTTTCTTATGCTTTTGGAAAGATAACCAGAAAGGTCTGGAAAAGAGCAAGAGAGGACTCTGAAACAGTGAAAAGGGTGTTTATTTCCCAGATATCTCTTTTTCAAAGCCACCTGATACCTGGATTTGTTGGCTTTGTTCAGGCTTGTCTCATTACTCTGGTTTATTGGCCAAAGCTTTTCTAGGTCGTGCTGCTAGATTCGATCAGAATTATGCAGGTTAGAAAAGACTACTGTGCAAAGTATTCACAGTGGTACAGATCATTCTGACTGGGTATACACTTTCATGTCCCAAGTGCTGTCCTCCAGCTTAGTAAGGGCTGAACTGTAGGCTAGTGAGCAGTAGGCAGTGGTGACCAGGCTCGACAGTAGCCAGTTGTGCACGCATCTTCAGCCTCAGTCTCCCCAAGAAGCATTGGCTGTTTGCATTTCAGCTCATTCTGGTACTAAAGATGATCTTCCACAACTGATATTTTCCACAGTACCCTGAAATGTGATTCACCCATAAATACAAGTTTGATAAATACACAGCTTTTACAGAAGAAGTGCTTTTGTCCCAGGGCTCTTCTACCTAACACTAATTCATATGGTTATCTAGCCTCTTGCCCAAGGCTAAGCATCACTGGAAAGCACACCTATCCAGGCATACTCTTGACATTGCTCTTTGTGCTAGGCAGAGTGGAGAGGTAAAGTAGCTGTTGACCTCTGCCAGCTCTTGCTAATTTTAGAGAACACATAATGGGGAGACTCCACGTTGTTCCATCAGCTAGTTCCAACCTGGTTGTTGTGCTATTAGAACAGTAGTATACAAAGATGAGTCCTGTAATTTGTCCCTTAGCTTTGCTATGAAACAGAGGATGTATGCATTCAAAATAATGCTTTGAAGTCTCTGGAAGATTTTTATCTTTCCAGTCTGAAACGTCTTCTAGAAGAGTGTTTTTAAAGTTGAAAGAGAATTAAGGTAACTCTATCCATGCAATAAAAGTTTTGACACCCAATTCTATGTCCCTTTTGGAAGTGGTGTAAGCAGGCTGTCAGACTGCTGCGCTTCATGAAGTACATCTGAACGTATCTGGCTCCTAGTAGCAGGATCTTGCAGGTCTGCTTCATGTGGGAATAGAAATACCAGACTTGGGCTACATCCTGACTGTAATTTGCTAATTGATATGCACGTATCACTCCAGGAGCGGCAGTCTATGCGGAACAGTGTACTCCTGGCATCTTCTCTTGGGAGCCTTAGCTTAGTGCTTCTGATGCCTTGCTCCCTGGCAGTGGATCTTCTCCAATAACCTGAAGAGATTAGTGTGGAAAGTAATTGCACCTACTGCTTGCTTCATCTTCACAAAGAACCTACAAGAGAACTGATGTCATCACAGCTTTTTCGTATGTGGCTGAAGAATGTTTTATTTGCTAGGAAAAATAACTAGTAAGCTGTATTTAATAGCACCACCTGGTGACTACTGGCATATGGTGCAACAAAAAAGGCGATATGAATGAGTTGTTTTCAGTTTTATGTACTTACTTATGCAAAAGCAAATACCACACCTGCATATTTATTAAGCTTAAGAAAATGTCTTAGAAGATTATGTTAACTCTTTCACATAGGCACTGACTGTAGTGTCTAACATCACTGGTTCTGGTGTTTTCTTTTATAGTCTCTGATCACCTTTGTGAACAAACACTTGAATAAACTGAATTTGGAAGTAACAGAGTTAGAAACTCAGGTAGGAGACTTTGGGTTTTTGTATGTAATCTAACTCTGTAAATTGTCATGATATGCACTCTCTCCATAAAACCTGGTTATGGAACTGTTAATCTTTGGGCATGTTAATTTATGGATCAAGGGTCTGTCCTTCAAATAGCAATGACATTCACTGATGCTTGCCTCCTTTACCCATATTTACATATACTTCATATTGTTACTGATTTACATTACAAGGTGAAATTCTTTGATATTTAATAGGTTCATATTGACGACTGTAGAATATGGCTGGATTTTAGGGCAGCTTATCTCCTGGATCAAAGTGGAGTGCTGCAAAGCAGTTGCTATAGTTATGGGTTGTTGGTGGGTTGTGTCTTTTCTAGAGGTGAGGGTTCATGATGAACTGGTATAAGCTTTTAATAGCTGGCTGCCTGGGGCTCTCAGGAGGAGTGTGGACTGCACTGTGCAGTTCATCATAGAGACATCAGAGCTTTGATCACATCAAAGTGGGACTAGAAACAATTCTACTGTTGCAACAAAGGCCTTCATGTCCACCTCTTTACCCTGCTATTTTGTGAGCACATGCACTGTGTTTGCTTCTCAGCAGTGTAGATTAACAACTCAAGCTCCCATACTGCAGTGGTTTGACTGCCAGTGTTATCCAGGTTAGTTTGTTTAAAGCTAGTGGAGGTAACTGTCAACCACCTCCATCTGCTCTGAGTTCTCTGCCTGTAGCACAGAACTGGGTACCTAATGCGTTTGGAAACCTTAAGTAAGTGTGAATTTCAGTGTTAGTGGGGTAGTTCTCACTTTAGAGATAAAATTAAGCAGTTTTCAGACATGGGCTTGGCTAAGCAGAAGCAGATACTCTTCCCAGAGTTCACTGAACTGTGGAGAGATGGTTATCTTACTGTCCCAGCAAGAAAATAAGCACGGCATCTAGAGAATTATACCGGGAGTATGGGGAATTGATTTGATCCTGGCTTAGTTTAATACCAGTCATTCACTGCTATTTTATAGCTTTGCTGAAATAAATGGGTGACTGGATCTGATATGTCACAAGAAATTGTTGCGTAATGCCTTGGAAGTATCCAACAGTTAGGATAGAGGTTATCACATACACCATATCAGGATCACAAGTGAGAAGTCTGTTAGGATGCATAACATTAGCCAGTAAGTAGTGCTCCTATCTGGTAGGAATATTGAATAATATTGCTGAAGGTATTTAGTATATTATTTAGTATTCACTGGAACTATAAAATCTGTTTTGACTTCGGAAAAAAATTACTTTGTGAAGTTAAACTTCCTGCCTGAGACAGAGGAGACTTAATTTCAAGGTCTGATTAAGAGCAAAGATTTGAATGTCCAAGACACAGGATTTAAGAGGGATTGCGGTTGAAATGGCCAAGTACTGTAGTAGTAGGACTGTGGGTATATAATGTACAAACATGTTCCTCAGCAAGCTTTTTTGTTTGTTTTGTTTGTTCGGGGTTTTTTGTTTGGTTTTGTTTTAATTGAAAAAAGCTTCGTTAAATATTCTAGTAAAGTTGGCAGGATTCCTCAAGCAAATCAAATTAACGTGAGGAAAATCAAGGACATACATACTTTAACCTTACCCCAAAGTATTCAGTAGCCTAGTAAATAGGTAACTGGCTGGAGATAAAGAAGATCTTGTTTTCAGTGTCTGCCTATTAAGACCAAATACTCTGCACAACTAAGGAGTCCAAATTATAGATAAATCCCAGGTGAATTGCTTTTAATTTCTTCTGCTTAGAGCTATTTACTGTATGTAAGTAATTTAAATAGTTTTTGGCACTTGATCTTGCATGGGTTAATGCTGTAGCCAATAGCTGATGAGCTTCCTTGTTTTGCTCAGGAAGTTAGAGTAGGGGAAATAATGCTACCACATGTAGGGAGAAAGCCTTGTATCGTGTGTTTTTTTTCCCCCTTTCCTTAGAGAACTCTCAAGAAAGCAGCTGTATTAACAGGCTCTTAACATTAATTCAGCTTGCTCGGCTGCACTGGTGATTACAAGGGTATAGGTGAATTCAGGGAACAAATGAAACAAGGCCTTAATTGCTTGTTACGCTTGCTGTCAATTCCTTGCTATGCCTGAAAGGAGCAGTGTATGACTCCTGAACCACTGTATACTTCTGTGCTAGCAAACAACAGTGGTAGAAATTAGAGTACATAGTTTGGGCCAGGCATTCTTTATTCTGCTAGTTTATGAATGCTTATTTGAAAACAGATGCTTTCACCTAAGAATGTCATCAGTATTTCTTTTTAGTTTGCAGATGGTGTTTACTTGGTTTTGCTCATGGGTCTCCTTGAAGACTATTTTGTTCCACTTCACAACTTCTACTTAACACCTGAAAGTTTTGATCAAAAGGTGGGTAGAAAGTTCAGGTTATATTCTTTTTGCTTTGTTACCAGATGACATTTTCCAATCATTGTGTCCTTTCTCTTGGTGCCCAGCAAATCAGAACCTGGTATATTCTTCTCTACAGGAGCTGTAGCAAAGATGCACTGGCTGTGACACATGATAGTTAATACCACTAAAAGTTGCTTGTGAAATGAATGGGTAAATCCCTGCAGTTAAGGAAGAAAGGTGTTGTGTTACTAGCATTAAACGACACACAAAGCTCGTGAATATCTACAATGAATAAATCAGTACTAAGTGCTTTGTACTGTATAGTACTTTGCATAATCAAAGTGATTTATTAAATTGTAGTACTGCCTGAAGTGCTTTTGTGCACAGGGATGCTTTGTTGTGCTAGACAGCAGAGCTGAGGCTTGGCTTTGCTTAGTATGTACCATATAAATAGGCAAGAAAGACAAAAGGTGCAGAAGCTCTGCTGTAGCTGCATCCTATTCACTGGGACTGACGAGATGGAACTTCTTCCCAAGGTCACAGAATGTCATTCCTAAAAACTGTCCCTCGTCTCATTTGTATCAGTTGCCTAATATCCATTAATTCTTTTTCTGTAGTTTATTCAATGTTTCTGTAAACCAACTGAATAAATATCAATATCATTACTTGCTATGTAAATGAGATACTGTAGTAGAAGAGGTGGTACCTGGGTCATGATCTTTGATCTGGAGTTAGAAACTATACGTTAAGCGTTTACAAGTAAAATGTTTGGAGCTGATCTAAAGCCAAGATGGTTCCCTTAATCCTGCCATGGAGGGAGCATGCAAAAGAATTACTTGTCTGAAGTATATTTGTGAGCACAGGCATCTGTTTCTGTGTCCAGTTCCTGGCAGGATCATTGCCGATATTGCTGACTAACTTTTGAGAGAATGTGCTAGCTTGTCTTTTTTGGATATTTCTTTCCGTTTCATAAAGCGTGAGTGACTGGCTGCCTAACAAGTATCTCATACAAAATGAGTTTTGAAGAAGAGTGGATTCTTTGCAGTCTTAAATGTCTTATTCATAATCAGGGTACTAGAGATCGAAGGAGACAGAACAGGTCTCTATCTCTTAGTCCCACACTTGCTCCATTGTCCTGTGTCCTTCCTAGTGTTTACAATGAAAAGAGTGCTCAACACATATTTTATTGTAACCAAAAGTTTGCCTCTTTCTGCAGTTTTTCCTGGACATGCACACACAGCTGTGTATATTCAGTGCCTGGTATCAGCTTACTCTGACCCTGCAGTAATGCATCTGCCCCCTGTTTTTTATTCTGCCAGGTTTTGCAGTAAAGAGGATGCAAGTATTGTGTTGGCTAAGCTGGAGCAGGTGATGGCTATGGCAGGAGTAGAAGCATTGGCAAATGTTAAAAGATCAAATACTTTGTAAGGCAAGAACTGTTTAAAATGGTGGTTTTTTCATAAGTTCGGCACAGATTGTTGCCGTCAAGCACCCTTCAGCAAAGGTGCATACTCTGTGAGAGATGGGACTTCATCACCTTGTAGAAATGCAGGATGCTGAGTTGTAGCAAGAAACTGTTCATTTACAATTTTGGTGTTAATGGTTTAAGTTAATAAAGATTACTAATAGTAAAGGTTATTATTCCTGAAGTAATGTGTGGCTAATATTGTGTGGAGAGTCTACCTTGAGGATGGAGGATTTGTAAATCAAAGAAAAACTCTGTTTTTGGGAAAGGAGAAAATATTTTCATTTTAAAAGTGACTGGTTTTGTCACAATGAATGAGGAGGAACTGTAGCAGGTAAAAAGAGATTAATAAAGTCCTGAGCAGTAAGTGCCAGTGAAAGGAGACTTTCTTCCATGTTGTGGGGGAGCTTTTGTATGTGTAACTCCCAGGTTTTCAAGATGAGTAGCTTTAACTAAATTTCTCCCCCTTACTATGTATCTCCAGAACTGTCATCTTGTAGTGACAAAAATGCACAGAATTCATAATCCAGATTACCTTGCTTAATTTTCAGTAAGCATGGATGAGAAAGCTGCTATGCAGATCTCTTTAAACCATACTGTTCTCTTCTCAAAGGAGAGACTAAAAGACTTCCTTGCATTTTTCCTTTTTGTCCATTTTTTTTTTTCTGCTGACTTCATGCTCGTATGTGATCGTTGGTGGCTTGCTCAGGAAGCTCGTTCTGTACAGTCATACCTAGCTTGTTTTTCAAGTTCACTCTAGGAGCTGTCACCAGCAAGCATTTTTTGAAGCATTTGCTTTATTAGAGAAACTTACTTTGACTTTCAGCTATGTTTTCAAGTAGAGGAAGTCAAAGAACCGAGAGACTAAGGGATTAGCATAAGGTTGTGCAACAAGCAGCCTGGCTTCTTGATAATGTGATATTGATGTTGCTTGATATGCAGCTGATAACAATGCAGAAAAGACTAATGTTGTTGAAAAAATTCCATTCAGTGTCTTTATTTGTTCTTTCTTGCATACCTGTGTGTATTTTCTCATCTCTGTTCAATTATGTCACTTCTGTTAGATTCCTTGTTGCCTAGATGGCAAGTGATCTCTTGCCTTGTAGTTGGAAATGTTGATCTTGGGCTCAGGCTGCAAGAACTCAAGAAAATTCAGCTGTGTTTTAGTTGTTACTGGGAGCTCTCTAGCCTCTGCCAAAGAGACAGAGATCAGGGCTCAGTGGGGTTTACTGGTTCATGTGGTACCTAGTCACATTTTTGCACTTGAAATTTAGAAATCTTAAATTACTTCCTTCGTATCAGAAGGTGAATATTTGCCCTGCAGTGATGCAAGCTTTCATTTCTTAGTCTCTCATATGTACTTGCTGCTGTGCTTAAACATGTAAATGTTTAATATTGATTTAAATAGAATTATCATTCTCTATGTCAAGTGCAGAGACAATAAAACATTTTTAAAATTTGATTAAAAGTTTGTAATTCCTTTATAACTTTGAGATTCTAAGCACTTTACCTCTTTCAGGTCCATAATGTTTCCTTTGCTTTTGAGCTGATGCAAGATGGAGGACTGAAGAAACCAAAAGCTCGCCCTGAAGGTATGGATGTGCATGTGGCTTCAAACTGTATAAAAAACCATAATAGCAGGTGCATTTAAAGTTCAACTCCATTCAAAGACAGTAACAGTAGACACAAAGTAGAGCTGCAAATGTACTTCTTGATAGTTTTCCAACAGATTTATTGTCTGTGTCTGGGGTTTCTTAGAACAATAGTTCATTTTATCATAGACTGGTGCTCTGCAAAAAGTTTGTGTGTAGTATACACTGTTAATGCCGTGTTAATGCTGATCTATTTGTTCCTAAAGACACTGGAAAGCCTGTTAGGTGGATCTATGAATTGGGTAGTAAATGCCTCTTCAGTTAGCTGTAGGATTTTCATGTAAAACGTTGTCTAGAGCAGAACATCACTATTTTTATTTCTATAGCCCATGCTTTCTGCAGTGCTTGCAAGAAAGAGGTCTTGTTTAATATCTTAGTGTGTCTTTGTACAGATGATAAACAAAAATAGGAGCATAAAGGGCAGCTTCTCTTCTCTGTTTTTCCAGCCCCATTGAATAGATTGAGCCAGGAGTGGAACTCGAAGCTGAATTATTGCAGCAGAAGTATGCTGTAGTAGATTAATTTATTAGTCTCTAATGGGGTTATGGAGTGTGAATGTTTTAGGTTAATTGAATATTTTAAACTATTTTGATGCTTTATGGCCACTTTCAGTGAGCATTTTATTAGTTGTTGTTGATAATGTGCATGCTTGATCTTAAAATAAGAAACAGGAGGCTGAGAACATGCTTATTCCTGGGAGTGCCTGTTAGACACTGATCAATAAGGAACGCTGTAATCACCCACACAGGGAGGATGCATCTCACACTACTGTGGTCTTTAATGCAGCAAACAAAGGCATAACAAGATCTGAAAGTTAGGAAAATGTCAAACTAGAATTACAGCGTAACTTTTGCAACAGTAAAGGTAATTAACCATCTGTCTGAAATGTCAAGGGATGGAGGTGGAATTTCTGCCGCTGGAAGATTTAAAAAGAAAAAAAAAACAAAACCATGCCATGTTAAGCTTATATTTTAATTCAACCATAGGTTGGTTTGTAACCTCAATACAGGATTTCCAAGGTAAAGTTCTCTTAGAACTGCGTTTTACATGAGATCAGACTATGTAACCACAATAGTTTTTTCTGACCCTTCTGACATGTCATTACGCTGCCAAGTAAAAGAACTGGGTCCATTCCTTCTTTTAGTGATGGTGCCTCCCATATCTCTCATTCCTCAGGATAATCACCAGGGGTGGTCGGCAGCAGATACCTAGCTCAAATTGCTGTTGGAGATTAGTAGGAGCCAGTCACCCTTAAATGCCTGCATGAGGGCAGATGGAAGGTACCTCCCCAGGACAGTGCTGCAGGTCTGGGCTCCCTTCCAGTTCCTGCTTGTGCTCTTTTTGGTGCCCTTAGCTCTTACTCTGGTGCTTCTAGATGCTCCCTCCTTGGGACGTGCCTTTGGTTTCCTAGCTGTGCTTCTAGCATCCAGCAGTATTTCTGCTCTACCCTCCAGATTTCTAATTCTCTCCACTGGCACCTTGATCTTGGTTTATAGTATAGGCAGTTCCTGCCTCTGAACTGATGTCAGCCGGAGGCAGGAACTGAACCCGTCAAGACTTGGTCATGCTGCTTCATGCCGTGTCAGCTGAGGTGGAGGTTCTGGTGGCTGAAAATGGGTGGCATCGGGAAAAGAAAACCATTTGGGAGGAATGGAGCAAATACACACTACAAATCTCTAATCATTATAGAGCTGTTTAGGCCCTTTTTTTTTTTTTTTTTTAATTTTGACATTTTTATAGAGCCAGAACTATTTTGTTTAATTGTTTAGCACACAAAAGGGGCTGCCAGAATCAGTGGGTCATATCTGCTGGTAGCTGACTCTTCTCAAGGTATTTGCCTTGATTTCCCACCTTTAGAAATGCATGGTGGTTGCAAAGTGTTGTTTCCCCTGGCTAAATTTACATTAATAACCAATTTTCTGTGATACCTGTAAAAATTAGAAGTGTGCTTCCTTCGTATTTCAGTCATCAAGATAAGACCTCTCTTTTTCAAGGTTTATTACTTCATAGCAGTTAGGATCCTTCCTTTCTTTGGTGCAGGAGAAGATTCTTTTGAAAATGCAAAATACAAAATCATAAATGAAGTATGTGGAATAATAGAGGAAGAAAAGTTTGAAAGTTTGCTGAAAATATCAGATGAAGTGTGGGTATTAGAGTATTATCCAGTATGGGGCGGGAGGGAAGGCTAGAGAGGTCCTGGCAGTGATTCTTCAAAACAGGCAGTAGGTGTTTCCCCTGGACCTCACATTGATTGTATTCAGTCTAAGTGTTTTTGTATTCCTGGTTCCTTGAATGATTTTTTAAATTATCTGTTCTTACTGTTTACTGTCTATGTTTTGCTTCCACCTTCTTCTTTCTTGCATGTTACATCCAACCTTTCTTTCTACCTCGTCAGCCTTCTCTGTGCTATGCCTCCTCCCATAGTCCCTGCATTACGTGTCTGTGGTATTTCCTGGCATTTTATTACATGTAAGAGGCTGGGAGGTGCTAACAGAAAAGCTTTTTGTTGAGAACTGTTCCAGATCTGTTCCCTGGCCTAAGATGGTAAGAAGGGATATTAGATAAAAGAATGCTTTGAGTCCGCTAAGAGAATTCAGGCTTTGTTTATTTGTGGGCTGTATCATTGCAGAGTTGTGGATATGTGAGATTTAGCATCTCATACCATGTGTGTGGCTACTTGCTTGCTGCTTCTGTGGCCAGTGAAGTCATCAATAGTATTTCCCAATGTCTTTATCCCAGATCTGAGACAGAAGTATTCTTTCTCTGTAGCCAATTTTAGATGAGGAAGGAAATTAACATTTTTCCATTTCCGAGAGAATTAGATGTGGCTGTGTTATCATGAAGCTGTTTGGAAGTGCATCATATGGGACATTTAAAAAGCTTGCCTTGGGGAGATCAGAACTCTGTGGGTTTTTTTGTTGCTCATCCCACTGGCTCAGAGGGGACTTTTGTTACTTTGAGGACAAATGAGGGAGAACGAAAAGCAAATTAAGGACTTCTTTTCTTTTACAGATGTTGTCAACTTGGATCTGAAGTCTACCCTCAGGGTTCTATACAACCTGTTCACAAAGTACAAGAACATTGAATGACCCTGGAAGCTGCTGAGGTCTTCATCCTTCCAACCTTAGGCAGAAATTACAATAACTCACCCTCTGCACGCTCCCTTTGTGCCTTATGCTATACTTCATGCATTCTTTCTACAGTTGATGTGGTCTGTCTGTAGCTGTTTAGATGACAATCCCACTAAAAATAATGCATGTGTATTCTCTAAGTCACTTGAAAATGTGTAGAGATTTCACACTTTACCAGAAGATACTGCTAGGTCTGTTGTTTGTTATGATCAACAAATGTTCTTTTGATAAAGGAAATATACCACTAACTACTTTAATAAGCAGGGAAAACATGAGACCTTCTTCATGGCTGAAGCATCTTTGATTCTACAATAGAATTTCTTCTGCATAGTCCTTGGTTGCAGCTGGCATTTGATGATTTTCTGGGCTTAAGTGTTAGCAATAGAAAATCAGCATTGGAATTTATTTAGAAGCTGAGCCTTTTCTGTTAAATAAGGGTTTTTATATTCTGTTGGATGTGTGGGGCTGAGGCGAATTACAGGCACTGTCTGAAGCTAGTGGCAAAAGCTTCAGTTTTTGTGTTAACCTCATGCTACTCAGTGTTACTTCCATTCAGTGTTTACACAGAATAAGTCTTTCAGTGGAATGACCAGCTGATCTTTTGATGTCTATTTTTTATTTCATCTCCTTTCTAGGAGAAAATTGCTTGCTAGAGCCACTGTTTCCTGTTAAGCACACAGCTTCAACCAGGTCTGTCAGGAGCTGGTCAAATAGGTGTGGGCTGGATTAATGCATTTTGCCCACGATCCTTTCTGAAACGAACACAGGGAATAATGAGCTTGACAGTTTAAAGGCTGACTTTATTTCATGTAGCTGAGTTAAAGGCTCAGATTCATTCCTCTTGGAGTTTTTGGCAGCTGTACAGATCTGGGGCTCAGGCTTTTATAAAGAGTTTTGTGTATTTTCTTTCTTAAAGAGAAAACCTGAATTCCTGTATAAATACGAGCTTGCCTGTATTTATGGATTGCACTGGACTATTGCAAGAGGCAACCCAATAGTTAGCACTCAAATGTGAAACTCTTCAGTGACCAGTTGTGCTCCAAACTAATTTCATCAAGTTGCCCTGTGCCATCCCAAGAAATACTCTGATAAGGCTCTGGCCTAGGCCTTGCAGTCTTGTAAGCTGTTACGGATTTTAGAGGGACTCTGTTTTAAAAAAGGATTGCTAGTTTTATCCAGTAGACTCTAGTTACCTTATAGTACTTCACAGGTTTCATCTGTAGAGCTTTTCCTGGCTGGTGATGTGGTAGGTACAGCAGTGTGTACAAAGGGTCTGTGCTGGAACATGAGTCGTCTGAGTAGAGTTTTGAGGAGAGCTTTGCTAAGGAAATGGATTGTAATTTCCAGAATAAATTATTTGTGGAATATGCTTATAATGGTGTGGAGTGCACAGGGAACAGATTTGACTACTGCTTATATGTATCACAGCAGTAAATATTCTTTTATGGGCAGCCATGATTTTGTGCAAAACATTAGGCAGAGTGCCCCAAAGAGGAAGCAGGTAGTATTGCTCTCTCCAGAGGCTCACTGGAGTCCTGTTGTAAGTAGGCATCTTCTTTCCTTAAAAATAGATTTCTTACACTAAACATTATTTGCCTTTCTGATTTCAAGAGGAAACGTGCTATTTGAATGGTATAATTTTAAAATTGGGATTTTCTCCTTCCCACCTTGAACATTTTTTTTAATCTCAGAGAGAAATGGGCTTCTGCATCTTTCTTTCCTATTTTGGGGTTCTGAGTTCTAGCATTTGAATTATTTGGGTCACTTCCCCTCAGACTTCCAAAACAAAGATGGATGGAATTTGCCCTTTATTTCCATGAAAAATTCAGATCTCATCTGAGTCTGTAAGGTTCTGTGAGGAATCATTGCTTGCTTGTGCTATAGGAGGGAGCTGACCTCTCACTGTTTATACACAGCCTAGAACAATTTGGACTTGAATTTCAGATGGGGCCACTAGACTGTACTATGAAGCTAGCAATTATTGCAGAGGAGACTTTCAGAGGCACTAAGGTCTGGTGGGTCAGGTCTCCTGGCAAGCTAATGAAATTGTTCTAACCTTTCATGCTGTGAAATAAGGGTATCATGAGGCTGGAAGGTGATCTAACTGAAAGGTCAAACTTTTAGTTCAATGCAGTGTTACTTGTGGGAAGCAAGCTTGTTAAAGAGCTACTCATTCCACCCACTTCCCTTCAGGTAATGTGAAAGTGACAGCGCTGTTTGTATTCTCTGAATTGCTGGGAAATGCCTTCAGAGAATCTAGTTTTTTTAAATTGCAGCAATATTAATGTCAAAAGCGAACAGAAAATAAAAAGAGGAGATTGATAACAGAAGTTTGACTTTTGGAGGGGGAATGACTGTTTCTGAGATGTTATTATACAGCTGGCGTCTTCATTGCATGTGAGCACATGTGAACATCCCACCAAATTTTAAAACAATCTCTGTGTTGTTCAATTATGTGTTTCTGGTCACTCTGCAGAAACCTGAGTCCCTCCTCTGCAATCTGAGGCATGGGCCTCTATTAGCATTCCTTACATTAATATGCCTGTCAGTCAAGACTGCAGGCTTGATGCCCTGATCAGCTTGGGGCAGGTGTCATACCCTTTATTGTTTTTAAAGTCTGTTGGTAAACGTTGTACAGTGAAAATACATTTTTCATTCCTTGGCTCCTTGCTGTCTAGGCAGCATAGATGCTGTATTTATTGCTAACCAGATTGCAAGCAGGGTGGATTTAAGTGAACTGGAGCTTCATCCCAATTGGTTCAATGTGCAAGAAGAACAATGTAGGTAAAACTTCTTTATACACCTGCTTTTGTCATGCCTTTCTGTTACATATGCATGATACTTTTCCTCTCAAAAAGATAAGTCAGTCTTAAAAACGTTACTCATAAACTCTTTGTGTTGCTAGAGTTTTAGCTATGTTCCCTGGATGCCAGTGGGGTAGATCTGAATTCTGTTGAGTTCATCGGGAGTGCTGAATGCTCTGTAGCATTAGAGCTTCCACATTTGTAAGTGCATAATGGAAGTCTGTCCTTTTCAGCCTGTGCAGCTTGCCTTCTAGGTGCATCTGCTTGACATACTCATTTCTACTGAGCTATATTGCCACAGGAGAAGGCCAAATACTCCTCAGCTGCATCCTATTTTTCAAGGTAGAAAACAGTGGCAGATTTTTTAAAATCAATTTAAACCTTTGTATGATTTCTGGCCCCTCTTCCCCACATACCAGTGCTTTCAGTGTTAATGTATTTTTTAGGAGTCTTTACTACTGTTTTTAACAGTGTTTACTCTGGATTTCTAACTACTAAAAAACAGTCTTGCATATAAAATTCTAGACTTGTCACAAAGCTGGATGTCTCCAGCATATGACAAGAGTTGTGTACTGTAAGCAAGTTACAATGCAATGCTATCTTTGCTAAAAATTACAGCAGGAGTGTTATGCATGGTTTGTGACAGTTGTACTATTTATTCAAATAAATAAATAATGATCACTTGGCTTTCTGCGTCTCCTTTTTTTGCTAAATGGGCAAGTCTGTGGGAAGACCTTTTGAAAGATGAACTATAGCCATCTTTTTCATCAAGGGTTCTAGGTGCGTAATGATCTCTGCAGACCTAGCAAAGCAGTGATCTTGGGTATCTGGCACTGGTGCAGGTGATGAGATTGTACAGACAGGCACAGATGAGCTCTACCTTTTTATTTGGCAGAGGGACCTGATGAAATTATTTACCTTTTCCCTTCTACAAGAGAAGAGTAACTGAATTACACTCTCTGATACTGTTAGAAGACTTAAGGCCCAGTTCTTCCACAGCGGCACAGGAGGGAAGCCTGGCATGCCAAAACCAGTCCCGTATGTACCTACAGAGCACTTGGGAAGCCAGAAGTGCAAATCTGTAGTGACATTGAAAACGTCTCCCTTTGTGTGCTTCCCTTTGCTCTCGTATGGGAAGAGCATAGAGTGGCTCTCCAGTAAAGCAAGGCCATGTGGAGGAGCAGGAAAATGCATTATCAGAAGTTGTTACTGGTGGGAGTGCTGTTGATTCCTTGAATTGTTCTTCAGTGGCTATTTTTATGAGGGCCAGATGTATGTGTGTGTGCGTGCATGAGTTGTGCTGTGGGAATGTACAGAAAGACTGGTGGCGGAGATGGGCATGAAATCAAATGGAGCTCTAATAGAGAATTTACTAATGCTGGTCTACAGAAGACTGGATAATACATGCACTGGAGGCAACAAATTTTTTGGAGCAAAAAAGGTCCTTGTCCATCATGTGTGTTTCAGACTTGGTTGTTTAGCACTGGCCCACTGTATTGTGAATGAGTCTTTGAAGAAGGAAGTCCTTTGTGTTGCCAGTTGAAGTAGGAAGAGCCCTAGAACTTACAGTTGGATTTCCCGATGTGTAATTCTTCCTCCACCCTCTGTTGATTAGAAACTGGATTTGTCCAAAGTTCCCTATAGCATCTCCAAGTATACCTTCCTTTTGGATTTTTACTCACTACCTTTCTAGGCTGCTTCACTTCTGCATAGGTAAGAAGGTACATTAGGTCTTTGCTAATTTGATGTATTGTTCTATTTGCTATCTGCTTAGAAAATACAGTTAAATTTTCCCGTTCACTAAGCATTTTGGGTTAAATTCTCAATTACTAAGAATTCATGACAGCTGGGAATCTGTTTTCTTTACCCAGTTTAGCTCATCCATTCTTGTCTGTGACATGGAGCTAAACACGGTAGTCCCTTAACAGTGTTAAACCAGACCAGCTTAATTAGTGTGCCTGCCTACTGTCTCATTCAGGGATTTCATGGAGGACTGCAGAGTTGCTTTTGATTTCTGGAGGAGTTAATGAATGTAGCTGGTACCGGAAGGAAATGTCCAGGGAAAGTGGTTGCTGTAGGGAGCTTTCCCACTTTAATCAGAGCTGGAGAAGAGAAGGAAGAGCAGCAGCACTGCCTAGTGGAGATAACTCTTGTCTCAGATGAATGTTTCGGGCCCTAGTGTGGCTAACTAGTTCTCTAGGGACAAATGAATTAATCTTCCTCTGCCTAGGTTTCTCCTTCTACCAGGTAGGTAGAGTAGTGCTGATCTGCTTTGTAAAGTGCTCAAAGAACCATGACTAAAAGATGTAATGTACCACCATGATTTTGTCTGTTGTTGGTTGTTCTATTTTTATATGCAAAGAAAAGCGCACCGCGAGTTGCTGCAGATGCAGACTAGCAAACAGTCATGCCACAGAGCACCATGGAAGAATGATCGTATCTTTCTAATACTTTCTGGTATTTCAGGAGTTGCAGGGTTGCATGTTTCCTGCATTTGTATTT